AGCACTTGTGTGTCTATGTCTGCCTGGCTGAAGGCCTACAACAGCAGTTCTCAACCTATAGGTCACAACCCCTTTAGGGGTAGAGTGACCCTTTCATGGGGGTCACCTAAGACCAGCAGAAAATATAAAGTATTTGCATTAGGATTCATACACGTAGCAAAATTACAGTTATGAAGCATCAACAAAAACAATTTTATGGTTGTGGGGGAGAGTCACCACAACATGAGGAACCGAATTAAAGGAACAAGGCATTAGGAGGGGTGAGGACTGCTGCTCTAGAGTCAAGATGTAAGCTGCCTGCAAGCACAGCATGGGCAGGGCTAGGTTAAAGTGGATGTGTGCACATCAGATGCAGAGCATCCATGGTACCTGAATGATTCTTAGTGCTCACAGCCCTGGGCTTTGCCTACTGCCTCAAAAGACCAACTTCCATGGCAGTCTGAGATGTGGCCCTCTTCAGAACAGGGTTTCCTCACTACTGATTCACTGGGGGGGGGGGTCAATCAGTAGCCCTTTGTGCTGTCCTGAGCTCTGGCACAAAATGAAAGAAGCAAACAACTTGGTTTCAGTCTAAAGCTACAGAGGTCTCTGCTACAAAAAACAGAGCTGAGGAGAGAGGAATCTAAATAAACATCTTTTGAACTTCTCTATTCTAGTGTTTCTTAATACTTAATGCTGCCACCATCTTCCAGGTTGTAGAAAAAGAAGACTTTTCTGAGCCATGCCACCAAATCACTCTGGTAGTAAGCTTTAGACCCTTGCCATGCATAGAGACTAGACCCCAGGGGGCAGCCTACCTTAGCCAGGCTCTCTTCCTTCCCTTTGGGCCCCTGGGCTGTCACCAGAGCACAACTTTCACCTTCTGTGGTCACCAGAGAGAACTCACAGCAGTTAGGAGCCCTTGTCCAGCATTCAGTCACCTGGAAGGCTCAGCCAGGATGTGCCTGATTGTGAATACAAGCACATCTTGAGACAGAGTAGCCACACTCTCCAACCAGGGGACACAGGATAGCTCTTAGCTATTGGGGAAGCCAAATCCTATGCTCAGGCCCTGGTCTCTCCTGCACCTGCCTGACCCCATGTAGAAACTGAAGCAACATTTGCGAAACTCCATTAGAGGCAGGTGTTGAAATAAGATGACAAAAAAAAAATCAAAGCCTGGAAGTAGTGGTTAGTAGTGCACACGTTTAATCCCAGCACTCGGAAGGCAGTGGCAGGTTAGTCTCTGAGTTTGAGGCCAGCCTGGTCTACCAATCGAGTTCCAGGACAGCCAGGGCTACATATTGAAACTTACTCAGAAAAAAACAACGAAGGGAGGGAGGGTCACAGAACTCTGGTGATGTGGCTGTGGTTCACTTTGCCTTGGAATGTCCAAACAGTTTTCTAGAAGAATCTTGAAACCTTAGAACAGGATCAATTCTCATTTAAGAGATAAGAGGTGTAGGCAGGGAGGTGACTACTCATCACTGACTTGCCTCACATGTCTCTCAAGAGATGCCCTGTGGAACCAATACTCCCAAGTTGCCTCCTTCGAGGCAGGCCTTGGTCACACTATGAAGAGAGCTGACCCCTTCGTGTACAGAAGCTCTGAGACTCCTCAGATACATCAGTTGCCCACCCTATGGATACCTAGTAATCTCTCACCCACTCCCCAAATTTTACAGCTTCTTCCTTTCCCACTCCAAACACTTCCAAGAGGGAAATGCAGGCCCATGGCTCCCTGACAGAAAGTTTCTTTCAGAGCCTCCTTCCTCCCAACCTGCATGCTGAGACCACTGACAATGAGTGTACTGAGAAGAGGGCCCTGCTTCCCTGAACCCCAAGAGAACCCTCTGGAGAAGCAACAATGTCATGACTGTATTCTCTACTTTTCAGGACAGACAAGGGAAGAGCTGGCCTTTGGAGGCATCAGATGCTCTCTTGGGAAGAACATGACTCGACACCCTGCTCTAAGAAGGAGTGCGACCTACAGCCTCGTTTGTGTTGGCCCTGATTGGGAGCAACTGGTGGGATGAGGACATGTGGGATTGGCTGTTTCCTGTTCCATCCATAGTGTGCCCAGGCTGTCTTCAGGACTCGCTGCCAATTTCTGTCCCTCCTGACACCGTGATGGTTGTCAGGGAAGACCAGCATGGGACAGAGAAATCCAGTAGCCTTTGGCAGCACTCCCACACAATGCACAAGCCTGTTACTCCCATGCCACTTGAGCATAAAAATGCCAGGGAAGTAGACAAAGGCCAAGCACAGCTCCAGCCATACTTCCCCACAATAAGATTAAGACGCTGACCACCCTCTCTGCAAGTCCCAGCCCAGCTGCTTGGTAACCCCAAATCCCACAAGGCCAGAGTCTAGGAATCCTGAAAATGCCTTTCTGCCAAAGGAGGGGTTTACCTTAATCCATAAATTATGGCTTCAAGCAGCACACCAGACCAGCTTGGTGTCTGGCAGGCCACTGGGCCCAGCGGCCTGCCCCTGCTTCCTGAGCAGGGACTTAGCTCACTTGAAATAGTGGCTCAAATTATCTCAAGTAGTAGCACACTCTTCCCTTAACTAAGCAGAAAATTTTCTTTACCTCAGCAGGGATACTTTAATGATCTCAGACTGGGGAGAAGGGGTCTCCTGACAGCCACAGTCCCTGATCAGCCAGCACAGTGTTGACTGCAGCTTCTAGCCAAGGGATTTCAGTCCTGGTCATCCAATGCTCCTAGACCCTAGATGACAGGCAAAGAGTGTTCCCATCTGTGCAGACAGAGGCCTTTCTCTGCCTCTTGGCAAAGCTAATTTAACCACATCCCATCTGTCCCGTATGAGGTGGCACTTTTGTGGTCATAAAACACATCCTCCAGAAAATGGCCATCAGAAGCAGAACAGGAAGAAGAACTCTTTTGCTAGTGATGGTTTCACAAAGGTCCAAGGGAAACCTGGGAAAAGTTCCTTTCATTCAGTAAACAAAGGTGACCACTCTAACGACAACACCTGTCTGTGGTTCAGTCTCAATACAGGGAATTAACAGCTCTCAAACATCACCTGGAACATATCCTGTTGGACAGAGGTCATCACCTTGAAAATTGGGGATGAACATTTCTCTACTGTCCAGGCTAAATCAAGATGTCTTTACAAAAAGGTTGTTTGGCCTAGTCACCAAAAAATAGAAGGAGGGGGAGGTATCAAAATGTTTGCTTCTATTTAAAAGTAGTAAATACCCTAAGTTTTCTCAAAATTAATAGTAAGCTGTAATTTTCATTAACTTTTTGAAACTTTCTACTATAACCTTTAGTGCCATTTTCATTCTCCATTATGACCTCAGAGCAATTGCTATTTAAATCATCCTTTAAAACAGAAGGAGACCTCCCTTGCAGAATCCAGAAATCTGCACTGACACGTCTACCCAGTCACCAAAAAACAGATAGAAGTCTATCAAGAGTAGCCACTTTGCCATTTAATTTAAAAAAAAAAAAAGCTGAAATTGTTGTGTTTTCTGGTTACAGCTATTCACAGCCATTCAAGATCATATTCAAAAAGAACAACAATCATTGTTGGAATAAATTACACATGAGTTATTTTTCCCTTGGGGGAAATTTTAAAAAATAAAAAGAACTCAGATGGAGTTCTTAAATAAACTAACTGGATCTAAACTTTCATCTTTATTGTCTCCAGGGAGTGTAGCGTAACCACTAAAAACTAAAATACCTATAAACTGTCCTGGTCCTTGGCATCCAAGACAAGGGCAGAATTAATACTTCCCCCACAGCCTAAAGGACACACAGCATAGTGTCAACACTGTCCTGGAAGCCCTCCAACAGGTGCAACCCAGATTATTTCTCTTCCCCAGCCACTGACAAGAAGTCCCAAATGATGGACAGGCACCAAGAAATCAAACCAAACACCCCTGTAGAGCAGAAATTCTGGAGATGGGACACAGGCTTGCATCCTGCTCATCCCACACCAAGGCCAGGGCTACTGGTATAGGAGCAAGGACCGACTTCCTCCTGCACTGCAGGTCCAGGCTGTATGTTCAAGTCTGACAAAGCATTTGTGTGTGTCTTCACTTCCAGTCACTGTCACACTGCCAAAAATAATACCGACAAACACAGTGAAAGACACACACAGGCCAGCACAGATTTGAAGGGATAGCATAAGCACACATAGCCTTTTGGAGGGGGCTATGCCTACCTGGCCAATGGGCTTGAATCCCCTGCAGTAGCTGACCCCAAGACACTCAAGCCCTGAAAGCCTCCTTTGCAGCCTCTTAGGAAACTTCTTGGCACACCTCAGCTGCCTCTGCTACCCATGTACAGCCATTGCTTTAACTTCCTCCTGCTACAGCCCTCTAGATGCTTCTAAACCTATTCTGTCCTATTCTGCACACACCCAAAGAAAAAGATTCTGTCTACTTCCCAGGTCATTCTAACTGGAATTGATCTTCTTTAGGTCGGTATTGGCATTTGCAACACAACACATTCTTTTGGATAAAGCTTCCTTTTCAAAACAGAGACCGCACCAGATCAGGCTTGTTTAGGGGATGGGTGCTTTTTTTTTTTTTTTCTTCCTGTAGTTCCTTACTTTTTGAAGACTGCCAAGGCACACCTCCAGAAAATGTGGGCATTACAGCCCTGCAGTGGGACTCGGTGTCCAATGCCAGGAACCCAGCCACCCAACCTCCAACTAAAAGAAGAATCCAATGCTAACCCGTTTCTGCTTGGATTTAGTGCCAATTGCCGCAACATAAACACAGACACCGTTCTCCTAAGAGACCACAGTTTGTATCGATGTTAGCAAATAAGCATGGGTGTGACATCCAGTCGTTGCATCTACAAAAGGTTTTCAACGCCTGCTGTCCACGGTAAATGTGTGCGTGAATAAAGGAGTGTGTAAATGTGAGTGTGAACTGTGCAATCTCCTTTATGCTGGCGGAGGCCAGTCCACAGTCCCTCTGACCTGGTAATAGGCCACGCTGCGGCTGTTCTTCCTTCAGCGGGAGTCCTCAGTGGCAAGGCCCTCCCAAGACCGCATGCTACCTGCAGCCACAGGCCTCCACCACCATGTCCTCGTACTGCTTGTAGACCACGTTGTTGGCGGCATCGATGTAGAGGATGCTGATGGGGCTGAGGCGTGCGGGCACGCAGCAGGAGGCTGGCGCCGCGTCGGGTGCCATGGAGTTGAGTAGTGTCTGAATGATAGCATGGTTGGTGGGCTCGAGGTGCGAGCGCAGGGGAAAATCACAAACGCCCTCACAATGATATGCCTCATAGTCTAAAGGCGCGATGATCCAGTCGTCCCAGCCCAGCTCCTTAAAGTCCACATGCAAAGGCTTGCGGCTGCAGCGGCTCCGACCCCTGCGCCCATGGCCCTTGCCGCCGCCTCCACCGCTGCCCTGCGCTCCCCGCGTCCCCGCCAGCGCCGTCCGCCGCCGCCTGTGTCCGCCCGGGGTTGCTTTCCGAGAGCCAGGGCCTGGTCCGGGATCCGGTGGCGGCTCTGCGGCGGCCCGGAGCGCACGGGCCTGGGCACGGATCTCCCGAAACAGACTGTCCTTCCTCTGTGTTCGGGAGGAGATCACTAAGAGCGCGCGCTCCTCCGCGGTGCCGCCGCCCGGCCAGCCGAAGCCCAGTCGCCGCAGGGCCAGCGGGCTGCTCCCGGAGCCGGTCACCGCGCGCAGAACCAGGCAGAACTTGCCGGAGATACGCGGATCGCGACGGTGGCTCTGCACCGCGTCCGTCACGTCAAACGCTTCCCATCGCGCCATTTCAAGGGGCTCGGCAGACCGCGAGTGTAGCAGGTAAGATGTGCGGGCGGTGTCCGGGCATGAGGACAGCTGCAGCAGCGGAGGGAGGGTCGCACCTTCCAGGTCTGGCTCAGGAGACCTCTGGCGTAGCACGCGTAGCTGGGCACTCACCACCTCGTCGGTGTCTGGGAGGCCGGATACATCGAATAGAAAGTTCTGGCTCGGCTCGGCTCCTGACTCCTCTACAAGGCAAGGACAGAAACAGAGGAGAGTGAGAGTATAGGCGGTACACACAGCCATGGGGGCAGCTGGGTTTGGCTTGGCTGGTCTGGAAACACGCATAGCTCTGGAAAGCCCACAAAGGGGCAGGTAGTGGTTCCCACATCTGGGCTCCAGAAAGAACACTGCTAACCTGGCCCTGGGCAAAGGAATCCTTTCTTGTCTCCTAACCTGAACCTCTGGTTCTCCTGCCACTGGTGATGGTCACATATTTACACACCTAATATCTGAACTGTGGGACCAGAAGTGCACCACCTCACCCAGAACCAAACCTTAAGGTCTCTACAGTCCTACTGCCTGCACCAACGCCTTGCCTATGCCTAATCGGTTGGTCAGACTTCTGGTCAGGCACATTTTCCCCAGGCTTTGTATGGCAATTGACCCTTACTGCTGGGTTGAGCGCCCACAGAGAGCTCCAAGCTCGCCCTGGCTGTAGGTAAACAAAAAATTCCCATTCCCTAAAAACACTTCCCCCTTTGGTGTCCTCTCTTTTCCTAACCCAGGCTACTGGACAAATTAAACCCTGAGAATAGTCCAGAAATGAAACACAACAGCACCACACACAAACCTCCTCCCCTCCAGCCCACCCTATCCCTTAGAATGGAAATGAAGGCCCAGATTAGCAACAGGTTCTCCCGTGTCTGCCCCAAGCTTTCATTGTTGGTCTCCCTCTTCAACCCTGTTCTTGGCTCCGCTCGTGCTCCTGCAGCAACCAACATGAAGGGAAAAGGCTGTGGGGTGCAAGGAACCTTCCTGGACAGATTGGAGGCCACGATGGCCGCCTCAGTGAGTGCTGCCTAATCTTTTGCTCTGTGTGATTTATTTCAGGCTGGGGTTTTATTTCTGGACAGGGGCCCTTTTTCTTTAGGGGTGGACTGGGGGAAAAAGTTTAAATTCCACCATAGAACAGATAAGGCCTTTGAAGGGGTCATATGGTTTCGTTTTACCCCATCCCAGAGAGACCATGCAGACTCCCCCCCACCCCTTTCGGGATTTGTTCACCAACCGTGGACTCCAGGCCTTCATGCCTTGTCTACAGTCTTGGTGTATCGCTTCAAGCTACTCTGTTCTACTGAAGCTGGTGTTGGCAAGCTAGACAGAGGTGCTGGGCTGTATCCTCAGCCAGAGCTTTCTCTGCAGCTCCACTTCAACCAGCTTCTCCAGGGAGGGAGGGAGGAAAGGTACCTGGCCTCCAGGTCTTGCTGGTCAAGCAGAACTCCACCAGAAGAACTCAGCTGGTTCTATAACACAATACACCCAGCCAGCCCTAACCAAGTCTGATGCTTCTGCTACTTTAGGGCCCTTCCCATGCTCTAGGCTGGATGGGTCTGGAGTTTTCCCTGATTCAGTATGGAATGCTGAGACAGACCTTCTGAAGATGCACTGGTCCAAAGGGGCATTTGAGCCCAGGATTTCTATGTACCAAAAAGAACCATGTCTGCTCATAGGTACTGTGTGTGTTTCTGAGATGGGTGATTACTGCACAGCAGCCTCTGCCTGTTTCCCCACGCTGGTATCAATGGCTTGCAGACTGTCTGCTGCCTGACTTTACTTTCCTGGCCTATTTGCCTTCCTTTCCCTCCTGGCTTCCAAGCTAGAACTTTGGCTGGGTAGAATTAAGGCCCAAATTACTTGCATTTCCGCCTGAAATTAGTTACATTTTCCCTATCTGTCTACTTTAATGACTTCAATGGAGATTAATAAAAGCCAGATGACACACAGCAACTACCCCACAACCCCACCCTACCTTTGGAGGCTCCAGCACAGGGTAGGATGGGACACTTGAGCTCCAGGCATCCCTGTTCTCCCCACACAACCGAAATCCTGCACTCTGGCCACCAGGGCCTGGCTGCCACAGTACACAGGCGCCCATACTCACTTCCCACACGTTACTATCCACCAATGCCGCCTGCTGGGAGGGCCCTCCTGATAGAAGGAGGCCTGTTTCTCTACCCTAATGTCTTCTTAACACCTTCTATTTGTGCATCCTTCCCTGGAAACAGGGAGTTACCATCAATGCTAGTCACTCTCAGCGGGAACTCTAAGGTCCCCAGTCCTGTCCTTTCTTCTCCAAGGGCTCCAGGCCCAAGGCCACTCTAAACCCTTCCCCCAAAGAAGAGGATCTTGTACTCTGCTCACCAGTTTCAGGGACACCTGACAATTCCAAAGAGGGATCTCACCCCCATTCCCTCAGCCCTCAGAAACCAAGCCTTGACTGGCATTACAGCCCAGACTTAGCGGATTTGGATGCACTGACTTCGGAGACGAAGTTTTTAACACCTGAAGATGGTATTCATGGGGTCATGGCTCAGAAGCTTGCCTCCCCCGTTCGTCTCAGGCCAGAAGCAGGCAGGATGTCTTGGCACAGAAGACAAGCAAAGTACCTTGAGTCGCTTGGTCTATGAAGCCAGTGATCGTGTCCGCATGGCCCTGCCCCGAGGGTGACGGAGCCCTCCCAGCCAGGCTCTGGTAAAGTGACATCATGAAGTGGTGTGGCACCACGGAGCCGTTCCTGAAGCCAGAGCCCGCAGCGCGGCGCACAGCGCGGGGCCCAGGAACTGCGGAGGCCTGGAGAGCCGAAGGGCCCCGAGCAGGGACGAGGGTCCGTCCGACTCCGCCGCCGCCCCCGGGGCTCCAGGCTGGTCCTGCCCCCCGCCGCTCCGAGCACCGCTGCCGCTTCCAGCCCGTCGCGGGGACGGCAGGCGCTCAGCAGCCAGAGACACAGCGCGGCGGCGGCGCTCAGGTCCATGGGCTCCGTGGGCCGGTCGGCCGCGCGACACGGGCTCCGTGGCTCCGGGAAGTCCCCCGACGCCTTTTGAACATAGTGTTTAATAATGGGGGAAGTGTGCGCAGCAAGCCGCTGCCCCCCTCCTCTCCTACCCCACCCCCGTCCAGCGCCCGGAGCAGCGCCCCCTGCTGAACGCTCGACCTGCAGCTCTGAGCCCCCCAACTCAGGCCTGGCGCGCAATACAGGACAAGAGCCACCTCCCCTAGCTTCAGTGCTGCGCTGTCCTTGCCAAGTGAGGGCCACCCGCCCGAGGCTCCCGCTACAGCACAGTGTCCCGCCCCACCCCACCCCAAGGCACTGCAAACCCTTCTCCCCGCCCCAAGACCTGAGAGCGCTTTCCTTGGCTGGAGATTGAGGCGTAGCGCATACCCGCCCAGCTCCCCCCCCCCCCTCTACTCCTCTAACGAAAAACACCACCCTCCCAGCTATTTTGCAAGTACTATGGTTGCCAGACCCAGGCCAAGGCAAGACTGGGCCCCTCCCACCCAGCTTTCTAGCTTTCAGCCCCCTTTGGTGGACCGCTCACTAGGAAGTCACAGGGAGCAGCTACATGGGGATGTTTACTGTGCATGTTTGATTGGCATCATCTTGGAACCACAGCCCTCTGAGGATCGCAGTGGGAGGCCAGCGAAGAGAGGATCTATGGCAATGGACGAGTGGCTGGAGGGACAGGGCAAAAGGAGGCAGATGGATCGAAGCGACTGTCGGAAAGGAAAAGATTTAGGCAGGGATCTTGGACCAAAGCAGGAGCCAAACTATTAAAGGGCTTGATGAATTAGGAAGGTAGCTGGGCAGAGGCTAGCCAATTCCCATGCAGAGTAAGGTCTCAGTGTTCGAATGTGCAACCAACATGGTGACCTCTCCATGGTCTGGGAGACAGGCAACCACAATTCTTCAAGTTGGGGGGGGGGGCGCAAAAGGCAACATGCTGCAGGTACTTTCACACATAGCTACAAGACCGGAGGATGAGCAGCAGATCCCTGGAGTAGTGCTCTGATGGAAAGTGTTTCAACCTCCGCCCTATCAGTAGGGGACACCTGAGCATTCAGAAATTGTATTTGGCTAGCCCTGGTTCTAAAGAGAGGACTGAGAGGGCTGGGGAGGTCTCCAGCCCGTTCAGACAAAACCCAGAGAGAGAATGTCTAGAAAAAGATGACCAACTGTCAGGTGGCTCTCAGGATCTGGACTATACCTGCTTCCCTTTACCTTAAAATTGTATTGCATTGGATACCAAATCGAACATCTAAAACGGGCCTGCGAGTTTGCAGGTCGAGATAGTATCTAAAAGATGCCTCGGGATTAACTATGGGCCAGGCTGTGGAGTCAGAGCAGGACACACACACACACACACACACACACACACACACACACACACACACACGGGAGGGGAGGGAAGGAGGGGAGGGGAGAAGTTGCACTCTGCTGATTCTTCCAAACAATTCCTCCTCCATCTGGACCACCTGGGAGCCAGGGCAGAGCTCAGTCTGGGGCCACATGGATGTTTGGGAGCAGGAAGGAGAATCCTAACCAGGGTCAATACTTGCAGAGTTACAGGGAGGTGCCAGGCCCTAGCTCAGCCTGTAGCAGGCAGGCACGTGTGCACCTGGACCAAGGTCTGTGCTGCCTGCCTACTCAGGGTCTTCCAGCTGTTGCCAGGATGGTGCACAGCTGGAATGACAACCTGCCTTTAGTGCCCAGATTGGGGAGCAGATGAAAAAGCCCTGTATGGGATTCCTCCTTTGGGTGCCCTGAGGAAGTGGCTCTGGCAGAACAGAGCCTACTGTAACTCCCCACATCCTGCCCTTGTACACCAAAGCCAGCCAGGGGTCTCTTTGTTCTGAGGGACACTGGGTCCTGGTTCCTTGCTGGCCTTATTTCTACAGTAGGTATTCATGCCCAGACCTTGTGTTTCACAAGTCAATTCCATGTTGGAAAACACTGAGAGCCCTGGGCTGTCATTGTCTTGGTTCCAGATCTGGCTTTGCCCATTAACCATCTTGGCAAGCCCCTCACTTGTCTTGGCTTCAGTTTCTCCGGCTGTATATAGGGGAGAGTGGAAGAGATCTGACACTATCTTGGCACTACATGATACCTCTGGCCTTAGGCTACTTTAGGACTCAGGAAGTTGGGATGGATAGATGATTCTTCCTGCAGTGCAGTTCAAGTAAGCCACATAGCTACTTTGAGACTGATTGTCCTGGTCTCTTAGTCTCTGTGTAGCTAAGACACAGACCAGAACAGAAGCAGCTTGGTAACTGTGTCCCCTTTCCCCAGAATATTATGACTGCTAACAGTGACCCTAGAGAAGTAGGGTTTGTGAGCTCACTGGAAGGCTTTGGGAGAGAATGGAAGGCATGTGGGGCTCTGCACAACCTACCAGCCGTATGTAAAGCAGGGTATAACCTCTTTGTTTGTAGATCCATTCATCCATCCATCTCTGCTTGTTCTTTCTTGCAGCAACTTCTTATTGCTAGGCACCCTTCCATGTGTTATGAATTCATCAATACTGCAAGACAGATTCACTGAGAGCCAGGGTGGGCAGAAGAAACAAGAACAGCAACACACAATGCCTAACATACTGTCAAGGATGCTCTGGGTACCATGATGATGGGAGAGACCTTTTTGATCAGTGGAGAACACACTAAGGCAGAGCCCCAAAAGAGGAAAGCACAGGGGTGTTGGAAGCATGCCTGGCTCCTTCCCCTTACTTCTGCTTAAGATGATGCTATCCATTTGTCACCTGTCCATAACTTTATATGCCCCATGCATTTCCTCCCTACAGCTGTTCTATCTGGTAGTAGAGATTAGCCTGTCATTTTCTAGAATGTTGAGTCAGGGAAGTGTTAACGCTTTGCCCAGGGTCAAGTGGGAAGTAGCTGAGTCTGTAGTGTCAAGCTGTCTTGGCCCAGCTTTTGGCTTCCACTGCCTAAAAGAGGGGAGACTGTGAGGGGCTTTGGTCTGCTAACTCCCTCCATGACTCTCTCTAGCCATCTGGAAGCTTCTCTAATGACTCTAAGGTCCAGGTGAGGATCATGAGAGTATTCCCCAGTGGACTCTCTTCTCTGCCATGAGCTGGGAACTCACTGTGCTGAGAAACAGCCTGTGGGACCAACAGCAGGGCTCATCTGTCATCCCTGACTCCTTTGCCCAGGCCTTCCAAGGCCCATGAATGAATTCCTATCTAGGGTGAAAATAAAGACAGAGAAAAACGAAGTCAAGAGATCCCCTAGCCACCGTACATAGCTCAAGTCCTCCTGTTGAGGAGAAGATCCCTCTTGAACCCACAATCACAAACCTAGCCCAGAAGCTGTTGGATGTGCACTGCTGCTGTCTAAGCACACTGGAAGGAAATGCCTACCCTGGGCTTTGCCTAGGGACTCACTGGAAAGTGGCTACAGCATTCTAGTGGCAGATGGCAGAGTTCAGCGATGGTTCAGCAAACCAGACAGGAAGTCATCACTTTTTTTTTTTTTTTTTTTTTTTTTTTTTTTGCCTTCTTAGTGGTAATCAATTCCCAGCATAGTCAGGAGTGTGGGGAAGGTCTTCATCCTCACCCCCAAGTTCTCTCCCAGGGGATGAATTGCATATCACCCCTGCAGAAACTATTGGTTCACTCTGATGTGTGAAATATAGTTTGTGATTTATTACAGCCACTGGAGATCAAAGTAGCAAAGCAACCCATACTGGTTACCCATAGAAGCCAGGAACCCTTATTTCAGTCACAGACCTTCTTGGTTATTTAGGCTAAGTTCCCATGCCAAGCCTCAGTCTAACAAGAGGCTGCCCAAGCCACGTTTGCACATCCCAAGCAGCCTTCTCACAGCTGAATGGGAAGCAGTTCTATAGGCTACACCCATGAGAGCCATGGCTTTCAAAGACACCTGACCTATAGGGAGTTTGCTATGGAATGTGGTCTTAGATCCTATCACAAGAGTTGTGGTGGTGGCTTCTGGGTCCTGGAACTTAAAGAAGCCCTCCCCCCTCCCAGCTGCGGGCAATGGGCATGGCCTTGATGGTCCTCCTACTCACACCCAGATACCTGGCCCTCCTCTGAGCTGACAAGGGGACTAGAAGTCCCTTAGAAGCAACCTGCTGTGCAGCTCACATTATCCACCAGAGGAAGTGTGACTCAGTCTGTCATTTGCCATCACAGCCATCTGGCCCACAAGCCCTTTCTGAGACTATCTGACGCCTTGCTCTCCACTGCAGCCCTGAGCCTATCCCTTCTGCTCTGCTAAGGCCACAATGAAAGAAGTGAGAAGTGAGATGAAGGTCTCTGTCCTGGCCACTGTCTGGGACTCTGGGTCTCTGCAGCCACACAAACTTAAAGCACTCAATGTGTCCTCCAGAAAGCCAAGGCACCAAACTTAAGTCTCCCCTTTAACTTCTAGCTGCAAGTCCCTCACCCTTCTTGGCCTTACCTCCTGTCAGCTCTAGTAAGACTGACAATCACAGGTCAGCTGAGGACAGTGAAAGGAACCAGGACAGTGGGACCGGAGTGTGTCCTCTGTGTGGACCCACCATGACCTCTGACCTCTGATGGGGTGGGGGGGCACTGGCTTAGGTCCCCCTATGGGGAGATGGAGGGAAAGCATCTGCTTCCCTCTTCCCTCTCTTCCCATGGCACTGGCCCCTCTACTCAGCCCCTAGGAAGGCTTCAGGAGTCTCTCCCGGAAATACCTGCCACAGCAGAAATAAAGATTCCAGCAGGTTCCCTCACAGCACCAGTCTCTACCCTGGGCCAGGCCTCCTCAAGCTGCAGGAATTTCCCATGCTTAACCTATAACTAGGCTGCCCAGGTTGCCCCAAGCAACAGCTCTGGCATTCACACTGGGGTCCTCAAAGCCCTGGCCTCCGGCCTCTGGGCGTGGTCTGCTCTGTGGCCCAGACCACCCTGTGGGGGAGGGGAGGAGAGGTGATGGGCCTTCTTTCCCAGAGGCCTTCCCTAGGGTGCATCTCAGTGCCTCCTGTTTGGGACAAACTGCAGCGGGCTGGTGGATAGTGCCATCTGCTGGCAAGAGTGTGTAACAGCACCTGGCTCATTAAGCCGGTGCCTCTAAACTTCCCTTTTGGGAGGTGTCCTGGGAGAAGAGATG